GAAACGCAATACTGTAGCCTGATCAGTTATGCGGACCCTGCAGCTGAGTAACAAGTCCTGGGGGTCCCTGCACACGCTTGAAGCAGCATGCCGCCGCCACACTTCGCCCCCTGGTAGGTACACAATCCAATAACAGATCTCGTTTAACAGTGATTACAGCGGCTCCCCAGTATGTGGGGGGCCCCGGCTCCGAACAGGGCTCCCTTATCGAGCAGCCCTCTATTAGATTTCCACCCCACACATGTGTGATTGGATGTGCGGGCGCGTGAGTTCCCCCCCCTACAGTTTCGGTAGTTCCACACCCAGAACGCCGGAAAGACACTTCCTCTTACGTCAGACGTCAGGGAGCCAAGCTTCCAGCCCGATCTGCCTGGAGATGGCATTTCCAAAGAGGGGTAACGAAGGCGTGAAATTCAGGAACATCCCGTAACCCCTTTCAGGCATTTTCGATATAATGGAGAATTCCCATCATCAGTCAGAGGCTTAATTTCATAATGGAAGTAAAATAAACGGAAAACGTTAGTGCTACCTGACAAGAAGGACGTGGATGCCACAATCTCAGATACCCACAATTCCTTGCACAGAAGACTTCACGGTCAGAAATACACGCCTCATCTTTCTGCCTTCATGTGTGTCAAGGCTTGAGTTTGACACAGCAGCAATGTCCCCCCGGTCCCCCCCTGCCTCCCTCTTCACTTCCTGTTGTCCGGCACACAGCGGAGTGCTCAGGCCCCGGGTCGGTGTCAGCGATAACGTGACGGCACCACCTCTTTCACTCCTGCCCTCATGACCTCCCCCGAAACAAACACGGCCGTCGATCCTCCCTTTTACTTTGGTCTGGTTCTCCCTTTTACTTTCCCAACGCTGTATAACTAACAGGGCCGCAGAGAAGACAGCGCCACTGACTGGTGACATGTGGTATGGGCTCCTCAAATTCGCAGGTGAGCGGAAGGTAGCATTTAGGTTTGCTGGTGGTGAGGAGGGCGAGGGTGGGCCTTCACCTCTTCATTAAAATCCTGAGCAGGCCTTCCCCATTTGCAGACATTCCGCCACAAGCCGTTTCCTCCGCAGCCAGCCTCCGGTACTCTCTCGTCAGGGGGCACTGAGCTAAGCCCAAGGCCAATCCTGTAAACATGATGATTATTTCCTCTTCCTATCTGTTACTAATGGCTCAATCACAGGCCCATAGCACTTCCGGCATCCTCTATATCACCAGCAGCCTCCGATGAATCGCTATATATCTTTGCATAAATGGACTCTTTTTTTAATACTAAGACCTATTTTTCGTCCAAGCGCAAACGGCGTTTTACATCACTGAAAATAGAGCTTTTGTAAAACCCCGTCCAGGG